CGCAACCCCCATTCTCCATCGTGGGGAGGGGGCAGAGAAATCGGGAGTGGAGTTGCGCGCAGGAAGAAGGGAGGGGTGGGGAGTGTTTTAAGATTTGGTTTTATTTTCTCATTACCCTACTCTGACTTCTAACTGGCAATAAATTAAATGAATTTCCCCAAGTCGAGTCTGTTTTGCCCGTGATGGTAATTACCGAGTGATCTCCCTGTCCCTGCCTTGACCCACGAGCCTTTTGTTGTATTTTCTTTCCCCCATCCTGCTGAGAGGAGCAAACAGAGCGGCTTCGGTGGGCCTTACCTCTTCAGGGAGATTTACCATGTCTGTTTATCACTGGTTATTCTGGTATAATTCTTCACGTTGAATTTCAAAATAAAAATCTTTCTCTCGGATGTTGAAAAATAACTTGTTTTTTCCTGGGGAATTACGCCAGTATAATTACACTGATATAATTATGTTTATAAATCAGATGCGAGGTTTCTCAGTGTGGGAATTAACAGAGCACTGAATTTGGTGCTTCTGGAAATTTAGTTGCAAATAGTGGGGATTTTTTTGTGTTATACCCTCCCCTGAAACTAAATATAGGAACAGTAACTTAAAGGGAGTGAAACCTTTGCTATCTTTTCTGCTAGTCACTCATTTTCTCTCTTTTAAAATGGTGTGTGGAAAAAACCAACCAACCTGGCATCAATCTCCGGTTAAAAATTATTTTAAAAGTGTATCAAATGCAAGGACTTTTGTTTCTATCCTTGGAGTGCAGAAGCAAAGTGAAGCCTTGTTAATGTAGCGACAGTTCAGAATTATTCTAGCTTGCAGTCTTCCCCGTTTTCACCAATTGTCTCCTTTTTCAGTTTCTGACAGCAGTGAGGTTGACTGTAAAGATGCAGTTATTTCTGAACTGCCAGAAACAGTTAGCAAAGGTTTATTAAAAAGTCTTTTTATGAGGCATCTCCCTTTCCTGTATCGTGGCTAATAAAAAAAAAAAAGTGGTGTCCCTCCCCACCCTGCAAGAGCTAGGTTTTGGAATTAAATATTTGTCTGCCGTTGCGTGCAGCAGATAATGCACCAAGGCTGTAAATAGCATTATTTCAGTCCTGAAGGGTTTTTTTTTTTTCCTGTGACACAAGTATTAGAAATGTCACTGGTCTGAAAGATGGAGGAAAAGTTTTTTCTCAATGAACAGTTTTCCGTATCGCAGGGCTTAGACATCCTAGTAATTGTCTGCAGAGAGCACAGGAGCTGGCGTTATCTTTTAATCGTCTGAAAGCAAAAGCCGTTTTAATGCCAAGTGCGATTGTGTTTGTGAAGGGAAGTTTTCAGACGAACGAGCGATGACGCAAAGCTGATGCATTTCATCGCTCGGGATGGACTTTGCAAGTACTCTGGGAGTCTTGGGCGTTGTAGGTTTGGAATGGGGACCGGTTTCAGATGGTAAATACCAGAAATGATCAATGTCGGTTTAAATCTGTAAAGGGTTTGATACAGCTGTGAGGCCATTGCCTACCTCTGCCGTCATTTTTGATGCCAGTCAGGGTGCCGCAGCTTTGTCCAACTTTACGCAAACTGAATGCCGGGAGGAAGGCATTTCCTAAAAACGGGGGCCAGCTATACAGTAGAATATTTGTTTTCAAGAATTGCAGTGAGTTTCTGGAGATGACTGAAAACTTCCTGTGTTGTGGAGCTGCTAGGTAAACATTCCTGACTTGTTCGTGGCTTCACTTGGCTGAAGGCTCCCTGTGCTTGGCTGGCGGCTTCTCGGACACCGGTGACAAAGATAGGCGTCACCATTGTAAACTTAGCAGCTACACATAAGAAATGGGGGGGGGGGG